CACAAGACTGTTTTAGAGCCAACACATGTACTAGTTCAACCAACTGTTATAGAGCTAGAACATGTACAGACTCAACCAACTGTTACAATGCTACAGCCTGTACCAATTCAACAGGATGTCCCAGACGTTAAGTTTTTTTTTTTTGTAAAAATAATAAAACAATATTTTTTATCAAAGCTAATCTGTATTCTATTCAAACTGTCTTTTAGTTCCCTAAAAAAGATAATCTTGTACTTGGAGAGAAAAGGTTACCAGACCATAATTATAAACATCACTAATTTGATGAAACTTTATAACTATAACTATAATTTCTATAATCAAGAATTTCACGAGTTTCTCAACGCCAATCGTCTGTAACGTTTAAAATGCAATTTTACAAATTTTAACTAATAATGCTGAAGAAATAAGTTTAGAACAAAGCGTTAATTTAGTAGAGGGAACGCCGAGACATTTACACAAAAGATTTTTTTTGATTTTGGCTTTTTGTCCTCGTACTTACGATTACTTTTTATAAAATAATTTTTTTCTGAAATTTCAAAAATCAAACGCAATTTGGATGGATTACCACGTTTGGACCTTAACTTTGTTAGAATTTTATTTTATTCAAATTTTTGACTAAAAATAATGTGATTGTGAATAAAAATTGCATACAAACCTCGGTGGTAATGGCATTAGGCCTTGTCCTTTATATGCATACACAAGTGTTTTGTATACATAGACAACCGGGGTAATGCGCCATATTTACCACGTAGTTTGTAATGTACTATTCTTACATAATATACCATATCATATACTATAGGGTGGGCCATCTGCTGGTTTCTTTTTAAGGTTATTATTAAAACTAAACTGTTGAATATTTTTGAATGATCGTCGCTTTGTTCAAGAGAGTACATCCGATTATTTATGAAAAACTAATTGAGTTAAATGGCTACCGCGGCTGGCTTGGCAGTAACACATTCCCTTAACCCAATTTTTCAATACATTGTCGATTATTTGTGACTATTTCACGAATAGCTCGATGGATGTTTTCTTTAAGTGCGTCAATTGTTTGTGGCTCGTTGGAGTAACAACGGTCTATAACATTTCCCTATAAGAAAATAGTCAAACAGCGTCAAATCGCATTTCGACGAAAAAATCTTTTTTTTTTTCGCACAGTTTTTGCAACACAGCTCTCACTTTGGAAATATTTTTTCAATATTTCCCAGCGTTGTTGAATCGTAAAATGAAGAGTAGATGACGGTCGAGCCTTATTACCCGAACTTACCTTACTATCTTGTAATATGACAACATGTTATGGAAACTACATATTTTGAAAATAAG